GCTTCTCCATTTTGGCTTTCATTTTGTAAAAAAAATGATGACATGGTGTAATATGTCATGTGTAGCTGTTCATCTGAGGTTGTATTTACCTACTTTTGAGAACGGCTAAGGACCAGATGATTTTTATTATGTCCTGATACGTAAAACCATAGAACTCAAAGAAGGTGTATTTTCTTTTTCACACGACTGTACATTCTTAATTCAAGATGGTAATACTAAATTAAAAATCTGCTGCTGTTGCACTTTCAAACTCTTACACATGCCAACCAATCCAATTTGGCAGAAGGCGACTACAACTGAAGAGAAATGATAGATGACATGCAATATCATTTTTTAAAAAAATAACTGCCCCATGTTCAGGTCCAACCCCTGATACAATTGTCACGGCTATTAGGCAGTTCAAGCTCTCCTAAAATTGCACAAGTCACAAAACAGAAATCTGAAGTTAATATGGAAAAATGTTTCAATTATACAAATTGTGAGCTTTCTGGATAGTCTATTGAAGTTTTTATTTTCTGTTAATTTGACTTTATTTCTCGTTATATTCTTCATGACAACCTGGGCTAAACTGATAAATGATAATATATATTACCTCCTCCTTGGTGTATGAATCCAATTTAAAGGATCCTGAGTAGATGGCTATCCAGCCTCCACTTGAACATATCCAGTGAAATGGAGTTCACCATATCCCTCAGTAACTGGTTCCATTGTCAAATTGATCTCAACTGGAATCTGCCTTCCTGTAACTTGACCACTGTTCTCTGTCCTGTACTTTGGGAAAACAGAGAACAGGTTATGGCCTTTTTTGTACCCTTCAGCTACTTGAAGAGTGCTTTCATACCCCACTAACTTTGTTATCTTTTCACAAGACAAAAAAAAACACAGCCAGTTTCATCAATCTCTCTTTCTAGTATCTAATTTAGTCCTCAGAATGAAGTTCAACTTGCTTATATTCCATATGCTGAGGCCACAGTAAAGACTATGAACTTTGAGTTAAACCATTCACTGAAAAATCAGGAAGGACGTTAACGGATTCCAGTATCATCACTCTTTTTTACTTCCACAGCGCATGCATGACCTTGCCAGAAGTTTTTTCCCCCTTATCTCCCAACAACATTCAGTTTTAAAACTTTCTAATCAGGTTTGCCATGCTTCTACCAAACACATTCTTCTCACTCCTTATGAAGTGCAACTCATATTATGCCTGCAATCCAAAAGTCAGATAATGCAGTCCATAATTCACAAAAATGGAAGTAAAGAAGACCCTAATTCTGCCAATGCCAGAAAAGACACACAATTTCCTTGTTTGCACCTTTGACATTTCAACAGAAAAAAATGTTTTGATTATATTGGATGAATCTTCACTGTAAGGTATCAGCTGATCCTTCAGCAATAAGGAATTCTGCTCTCTTAAAGAGAAATACATTGCTGAAGAAAACAGGTTTAAGGTGGCGGTTCAATCTAAGCATCAACTGTCAAATTACACACATATTTCACAGAAGGCAAACTCAATACAATCAAGATACCTTGACAACCATTCAGCTCAAGATTGGCTCAAGACCACCCAGCTACCATTTTTGTCTTCCATCAAGTATCAGTAGACAAACTATACGTATATTCCCTTTCTCATTCAATACTGTTTCCAAGAATCACCCACCACAAATATTATTTTTTGGGATCATCTTCCATGTTTTTGTTTTTTTTGGTCTGTCTGTCTTTCTCAGGATTGCTTCTCCTCCCCAAAAGACTACAGCTTTTCTCACATAATGCACTCCAAATAACACCATCCCTTTACACAAGCTTGTATTCTATTTCCATATCATGCATACATACAACCTTCTCTATTCATCCTCCCTCTAGACTATTCCAGAAACACTCCTAGTCTTCCCTACAGTGCTTCATGCAATCCAGCTTTTTACATGTCTGCCATTCCTTGGCACCATTTCTAACTCTCTCCTGCTTCCATAAGTGCTCCTCTGCTCCCCAGAGCTCAGCAGTCTTTCCCCTTGCTGCAATCTACCCAAGACTGCATCATCCCATGGCTGCTTTTGGTTAAAAAATAGGGCTACTGCATACTATATATAGTTTCAATCTTAGTTGCATGGTCTTCAAGCTACCTGTATAAAAAATGCAATTCTCTACAAACAAATAATAATTTTCCAGTATTAAATCATGTAATTATCTATAAAAATAGTTTTGCTTAAAAAATGTGACTGAGCCCCAAATCCAAATTACTGCACTATGCCTTCAAGTATAAATTATATTTTTTCAGGATAATGAAAATACTGTCTCTAGAAAGTTTTACCAGCTATAAATGCTGAGTTTGATTAAATTCCCCATATCGTGTTTGCTCAGTTATATGTTAGTATTATACTACAAACTGATAATCAGTATGCCATAAAAGTCTGCCATCACCATTTATGAGGAACAAAATAGCAAAATAAATCAGTATAGTGTTACGTTACATAAATACATTTATTTCCACAACTCTATTGTTAAGAATAGGTAGAAATTCCCCTCCCAGAATAATAAGTTTAATACTTGTATATTATCTGATAATAATGTAAGGCTACTATAAATGGCATAACTAGGATTACAAGATTTCAATAGTTGGTAGTATATAAAATCAAATATATAAAACTGATCACAGCCTTCCTTGTTAAGTATATTGGTTCACATAACATACTAGGTCTTGTTTTTTGTAGTACTTTAAATGCAATAAGGAAGGATGTGATACAGCTTCATAACTGAGAATACAAAAGTCAACAGGAAGAAAAGGTCAACAATGAATGAGCAGCTTCCAACTCATCACAATCAGTGTTGCCTTACCATAAATTCTTCCAGTGTCTGGTAGATTTTCCCACGGAAATCACAATAATTTTTCCGTTCTTTGCATTGTGGACAGCACTGAGTAGTGTCAACATGAATACAGCGAGGATGGACTCTAGGACACTCTGGCTGAATGCACAGTGGGCCCTCTTCAGTACAAAGACAAGGGCATGCAGAAGGTCCTGGAGTAAACTTCTCCCCAATTGCATAAACAAAGCCACTCTCATCCACACAGCCTTTTCCACGGTAGTCTGGATAAGCATATTCCTCTGGAGGTTCAGATGTGGTACCAGCAATAATATCTAAGAGGGAGAAATCTTCAGCAGCTGGAAGTTCCTCTTGAATACCTTTGATTTGATTATGAGCCTGGAGGTTCCCAAACTTATTACTTGTTGCCTGAATACTCAAAGCCTGTTTTTGCTTTGTCCAAGATTCTTTATTAGAATAATTTCTGTTGCCTTTGTTTTTCCAGTCCCTGATGCCTTCTTCCCTTCCATTCCTAGTCATTTCATTCACTTTCCCTAGTCCTGGTCCAGTTTGATTCTGTCTCTCACGGGCTGATGATTGATCTTTTTTTTCCTCACTTGTTTTTATCTCCTGCTTGTCTTGAGCCTTGGATAGTTTTTGTAATGGTGCAGTAGAATTACACAGAGCGACCATCAGGCAGCATGTCACAAGGAGGGAACTAGAAAGAGCCCCAATTGCCATTGCAGTATTACTGGGCGTCATCTAAGGCATCTCAGATGGACAAAACATGTTTCATTCAAATCAAAGGAAGTCCGCCTGTCAATACACTGTCCCTGGGAAGAGACCAGTTAGGATACTTCAGATTATTCTGCATTTTTTATACAGAAAGCAGTATATAGTCTTCACCTATTACGTGTAAAAATGAAAAGCAGGCCAAGAAAAGAGATTCAGCTTCAAATTATAGCACAACCGTGGACCTGTTGGCCGTTCCTGAGTAGGCTGATGCTTTTCAACTTGTTTCCTATAACTGAGAGGAGAATAAGGATCTATATCACTTAAACAGCTAACTAAATCACTTTTTAAAAGAAGCATGGTAAGAAATTTGTCATCCTAATTATAAATCACTAGGGAGGAAAATCAATATAATGCTTAGATATCAATATAAAAAAATTTAAAAACATACATTAAGTAAGGGATGAGGAAGTTGGGAATGGGAGGGATAGAACTGCTTCATAGCAGTAGTAAGATCATAGCAAATTCTAAGATATTGAGTTTACCTTTAAAATATTAGTTTTATTTGGAAGGGGGAAGTAATCATAATCACCTAGTTGCTTTTCTGCAAATTGTATATACACAAAAAGGAACAAGACTCCCCAGAACATAGAAAACCCTGGAACATGTATTCAGCAATATTTTCAATTCCTGCTTGCACCCTGATTTTCACTAAATCATTTTTGTAAACTTCAAAACTTAGAGATAAGAAATGGCATCTCTCTCTCTCTCTGGCTATGCTAGCCAATGAGCAAAATAAAGATTTGATTTGATATATATGACTTTCACCCCACTATTCCTTAGTTTATAGAACATGAAGTCTCTTTTCTGTAATATCCAACTACCTCAACTAATTTTATTTTACTAAAAATGCAACTATAAGCTTATTCTCTACCTTTTATGGTAGACTCAGCAATTCTACAGCTATTTCAAACTGTTCCCTTCAAAAACAGTATACATACTCACAAATAATCAATTTGAGGCAATATTTTCTTCGCCATATTGTTGTACTCTATACTATAGTTTCTCAGTGGACATCTAAGTTAATAATTTTTTTTTTTAATCCACAAAACTGCCTTTCATATAGAAAAATCCTATAGCCTAGCATTAAAAAAGGGAACTTTATACATATAAACAGATACTTAGAAGCCAAGAAGCAAGGAATGATTTTAAACAATCATAGTGAATAGTACTATATTTAAGAATCTTATCTTCAATTTCTAGATTTCAGCTTTGTGCCGTACAGTCTACTCAGAAATTAATCCTGTTCAGTTCCGCGAAACTTATTCCCAAACAACTGCATGCAAAACTGAAACCTTAAAGACTAATATGTTCATTGCGGTGTGAAGATATTTCTTGTGAGGACAGGACAGGATAGTTTCCTGTCCTGATGAAGGAAGTTCCAAAGAGTCTTTTAAACAAGTCTTTCAAACTGAGGTAATTAATATTTCAAAAGCGGGGGAGGGGAGATACCTTAAGGGGATTAAAAGAGGAGCCAACATTCATGGATTCAACTCATCTCATTTTAATTTTTCACAAGGTTTTTGAGACAATGGAAAGTAAACAAGTTTAATACTCTTCAGATTCTCTCAGCTCTTACTGAAAGCTGTTTTAGGTTTCAATCTAGTTAGTACTCTTCCAGAATATGCTGTTCATCCTAATTTTTGCCATTTGAACCCTGAAATAATCCATCAGATTTGTTAGGAGGATGAACTATTGTTGCAATATACATGAAAGCACATGATGCAACCACTCTGCTGAAGTTAAGTTTGGATTTTCTAAGTGCCTGATGAAGTGAGCTGTAGTTCACAATAGTGGATACCTTTTAATAAAATGTGTTCAACTGAAAAGGTGCTACCAGGCTCCTCCTGATCTTTATCTGAGAACTAGGTACTCTATGTTGAATTTCATGATGACAGAAACACAAGACAGAAAATCTAGCAAACAATACAAATCAAATGCTCATATGTCTTACTCTCCATGAAGATTTCCCCCCTCCATTTTGTATTCATCTTCATTATAAAGCACAATCGACATGGCATTTTAGGGAATTAAAATAAAATATACCACCAAATACAATACCTATCTCAAGGAAAGGTGGCGGGGGGGGGGGGCCGGGAGCAGACAGAGCCGAGAATACGCTGGAAAAGAATATATACTAGTGCAGTTACGCGGATTGTAGCTTAACGTTTAACATTTAAAAGGAATAGCCGTCTATGCTAGTCTTGCAGCAAAAAGCTCCGTCCTTGGTTGGGCTTAGCGCGTTGCCTCCATCGCTACACACGTACACAGACACTATAACTTTCCTGTCTCCCCCCCCCCCCCCCGCCCTGCAAAAGTTCCCGCTACTGCTGGCGCCCCAAAGGGCAGGAAGAGCTCATCCTCTCTTTACCTTCCTCTGCATAGCCTTTGCAAGGCAGATCCTTTGCTTCCCCTCATTCCCGACTGGTCAGCCGGTTGCTCCTCGGCTCGGGAGAGCGAGCAGCTCGTCTTTTGTCTTCCATCCTCCGTCCTGAAGGGAGAAGACCCGACCGGCGACCGGGGCCGCCACTCCCGCCCGCTGCCCACTCCTCCTCCTCTTCGCTTGCGAGGCGAAGCCTCAGTCACCCCACAACACAGCAACTATACCGGTTCAGCCTCGTGCTGAGGGGAGGGCGAGCGCGAAGACGGGCTCCTCCCTGGCGTTTTCACATTGCGGTTTCCTCACAGCCCCGCTTGCCGCCTCCTTCCTTCATCCGCATAAAAAAGGTAGCCTGAAGCGCGCGTCCCTCCGCTTTGAGGGACTCCGTCTCTCCCTCAGCCACTCGCCCGACGTCCGGAACTGCTGCTTGCTCCCGAAACGTCAGTTGTTGCCCCATAGAAGAGCTGTTGGCCGGCGTTGCCAGGGGTGGGGGAGCGCTTGCAAAAATGACGCCCGCAAGGAGGCTTCGAGCTGCAGTAACTGTGGGTTGCCTCCTTATCGCCTGCTCTGATTCCCGCTTTCGTGAGGCGGCGGGAAGAAGCTTATTTCTGGCCGGCGACTGATGGCGATCGTGAAATCGTCCTCTAATTTATACAGCGCTTTGCACTCCAGACAAGCCGGGCAGAAGGAACTGTGGGAGCGGGGAGGATGGCGCTATCCTGCCTTTTCAAGAAGCAATATAGTATTGGAAACAGGAAGCAACCCAATTTAAGCAACACGCGGGCCACCTATGCCTGCATGTAACGGTTCAAATGGTGGTGTAGATAAATGCTACTCCCAATTCGTTACACTTTCCTTAAGTTCTGCTCCCTCTCTTTTCGCCTACTCTGCCTTCAGGACAAAACTATACTGATCTGATCTCTCGATTTTTTTGTATATAGTAAAAAGTAGCCAAAGATCCTTCCAAGTGAACTAGGACTGTTTGAGTAGGGAAGTAATGTACTGTAATTTCCCTGCTTTAACCCCTTCCTGTGCTCTATGGGAAGAATATTCAAGTAAAGATGTGAAGAATTACAGTACATTTTCCTTTCCCAGCCCAATTCTAAGATACTGGGTACTTTTCAGTAAGTTTTCACTTCGGACCAAATTAGTTAAAATGTTAGCAAATTATGCTATAGTGGCCCTTCCCTACTCATACCTAACTACAGCACAAACACAACCTGGCAACACTATGATGCTGTCTTCATCCTAGGCATACTGGTACAAAAATATTTTCCCCATTGCAAAGGCAGCTTTAAAGTATACACAATCGGTTAGAGTTTATCACCCATTACTTTGGAGGGAAGTCAAGTGGCCACAGTGACTTGAAACGCAATGGAGGCAGGATAGGAGGGACAGTAGGGATGGCAGGTGCCAGCTGACTGGATTTCTGCCAGCTCTAGAATGGAAGGAAAGCATTCAGTGGTGGAAAAGGCTTAAGTGGGGATTTTGCCTCAAGTCACTCTTGGTAAGGTTATTGGTTTTAACATTGTTTTGGAATAGATTTCAATTATATAATACTCTTACATCTATCCAATTGTTTTAATGCAAATTCAGTGTCAATTAGAACAGTAATACGTGCCATGTAAAGTATTTCACATAAACCCAAAGCAATTCCATCAGATTTAGAACCTAAATAACTTGCATAATCATGAAAAAAGGAGATATCTGCTTCTTGAGAGAAAGGCTATGGCAAATCTAAACAGAATATTAAAGTTTAGAGTCATCACTGCTCACAAAGGTATACTGTCAAGGTCATGGTCTCAGTTATAAAGTATGTCTCCAAAAGTGGACCATCATAAATGCTAAATGAAAAAGATTGATGCCTTTGAACTGTAGTGCTGGAGAAAATTGTTGAGAGTACCTTGGAACAGCATGAAGTACAAATCATTCAATCATTCAGGTAAAACTAGAAACTCACTGGAAGCACTAATAATGACACTATGGCTTAAGTATTTGGGACACAATGAATACAGAATCAAGAGACTGAAGAAGGTGATGATGCTTGGAAAAGTCATTGCTTCTTATCTTCTTTGGTCATTTGTTTTTGTTTTTTGTTCTAGTATATGTGCTCTTAGAACTAGTGCATTGTAGTATCACTTTTATCCAAACAAGAACATTCTGATATATGAGAAGAAAATTTTGATGAGGAAAACATGTATTTTTTTCATTTTCCTCACCTATGCCACCTTGAATTGACCAAATATAGATGGATAGATAAAAGTGGGATAAAAATCTAATCTTCATCATCATCTCCAATACTTATTTTTCTGCCAGATGGTAGGGTTCAAATCTGCTCTGGAAATACCAATCTGCAGTTTGGAATCCCTCTCCATTTAAATAGAGCCACCATATATGGGCAGCAAAAACCAGATAACTACTAGACTCTACTTCTTTGTTGCCATCTATTGTAGCCAAGATATGATAGACCTAATCATAATGGGAGGAAAAAGGAGTTTGTACTAACTCTGATACAACCATTATTCCAGCTTGCCTTAAACCCTGACTGAATCTCTCTTAATTATTGACTTTGCTAATTTTATATCCTTTTGCTTCTGTGTTCACAGATACATTTCTGTGGGCCAATTCATTTTCTGCTGATGCTATTAAAAAAGTTATTAACTACCCTATATGTTATTTCCTGCTTTGAGCAATAGATTCATTTTTCAGTAAATATATACAATGATGATGAAGTCTTTAATCATGCAAACAGTCTGTATCTCCATGGATGAACACATATTGTATGACTGAGATTAATCTTAGGCACCCTAGTGAAAAAACTAGGATTGATTAAAAAGTAATCCTCTGGACTTGCTTCCTCCTATGTTAAATGAAAGTGTCAGATATGTAAGGTTAACATGACTGAAGTTTGGGGAAAGCTGATATCTGGAAGCATTTTAGCTTCTAGTACTGACCAACAGAGGCCAGTATGTGCTGTGAAATCTTAGTGAAAAGAATCTAGTTCTCAGAAGCGCAAGGTCTGAATTATAAGCAATAAAGACATAAAAAAATAAAGATGTGGATTGAGTATCTAGGTTAAAAATAAAATGTGCGGCTCAAACTTACTTTTTTGTCACAGATATACTTTATCAATAATTTATCTACCCAAATTTGATATGTTTTTAGACTGATCAATGCTACCAAGTTTGGGCTGCAAAAATCCAGATAACCAACATGTGGCAGCAAGAAGAGTTTTCAGCATTTCTGTGTTACCATTTAGTGGTCAACCAGATTCTTGCAGCTACAATTTGGTAGCCTTAGTTTTAGTTAGTCAGTACATAGATTCTCTTTGTTACAACTACAAACTTTTCCTGGCTTCTGTTGTTGCTATAATAAGCAACCTGCTTTTTAGTTATTTGAGAATTGCAGTATCCAGTTTCAGAAACAGTTACAGGCTGCACTTCCACTTCTATGTGCATGCTTTAGACTTTTGCAGAGAAAAACAGAAAACAGCTGCTGTGTAATAAGCATATTATTTCAGGATAGAAGTTTGGAGTAACAGGCATTCATTTATTATCATAAAGAGTCCCTTGAGCTGAATTTGACTCCTGATGTCCAAACCGTGCTTAGCTTTTTTTTGGGGAACAGCCAAGGTCGGCAGATGCTGCCACCTGCTGTGGCACATTTATTGCAGACAGTTGTTCACTGAATAAAACCTGATAACTTTTAGCCATACTGAAAATTGATTTTCATCTAAGAAACATTTTTTTCCTCTGAACATCTACCTTGAAGTTCAGTTAAAATACCTCATTTTTCTGCCACCACTGTAGAGCTTTTTCAAGTACTAAAAAAAGATTATATCCTTATCCTTATGGCAAAAGTGGGAGTTTTTAAATGTATTTTGAAAGACACTTGGGAACCACTTCATGAATAGGCCCAGCTATATAGCAGCACCAGGGACATCCACAGAGAGAGAGAAAAAAACCTCAACTGTGCAATTGAAGGCCTGCCCTTTTTCACTATCTGCCACTCATGTCACATGCACTTAAAAAGGGTCAGGGCTGCGATTGAACAGTCACACCCTGAGCTACACATATTCTCCATATTACAATCATAGTTGCAAAACTACCCTGTGTAGTTTAAAAAAGAACCTTGAAAATTCGAATATTGGACATTTGGAATGACTGAAGTTTTGATGATTAGACAGGGGTAAGGAAAGGGAAAGAAGAATGATCTTGGAACTGGTGAGTCATATAAGGAGACATTGAGGGAACTGACTATGTTTTATCTTTTTTGGTACCTGAAGAGTTGTTACCCAGGAGGTCAGGATCTGTCCTTTATCATCCCAGAATATAGAAAATGGAATAATGCTCTTAAGATACAGAAAGTCAGATTCTAGTTGAGTATTAGAAAACATTTCCTGACTGTAAGACATCATCAAGGGATGTGGTGGACTTTTCATCATTGTATTTTCTCATATAAAGGTTGGCCACCTTTCTCTATGCTTTACTCTGGATCCCTATCCCGATCATGGATTAGACTCAGTTAAATATATATGATCCTTTCCAACTGGATGATTCCTTGATAACTTCTCCCAGTGCCTTGCTAACCAGTGAATACTACCAAACCTACTCAGTACAATGGTACATATATCTTTGTTAAGAAGGGCTTTCTACATGCCTCGAAAGAAACAGTAATCAGACCCACTTTAAGAAAACCCTTTTGAATCTTGCTGATCTGGCAATAATAGGCCAGTGTCTTCGTTTCATTTTCTTTTTTTCTTTTTCTTCTTAATTTTTTTGAGAAAGGTATTAAAGGGTATGATTGCTAGGTAACACGAGAAATTTTTGTAAGGAATTGTGGCTGCATCTCACCTTTATCTCAGGCCTAACTTTGGGATTAAAGCCATATCAGTCACCTTCTATGTCAGAAGACAGTGGAGTGATTATAACAGTATATATGTTCTTGGACTTCTCAGGTCTTAATATTTTTTGCTTGAGGTTTATGCAAGTATTTTACAGAGAAACCCTACAACCATATTTGTTCCTTGTATAGAGAGAATACATAGAAGGTGAACAAGATTATATCAGTTGGCCCTACCACTCTATTCTACTTTTTATATGAATGGAGCAAATAGGCTTAAATATATTATAGGAAGCCCTATGAGGAATGGTTAAAGGACCTGGTTATGTTTAGCCTGCAGAAGAGGTGACTGAAGAGTGATACGATAGCAGTCTTGAAATATCTGAAGAACTGTCATATAGAAAACTGTATATGCACATTCTGTATTGTTCAAGAAGGCAGGACCAGAACCAGTGAGTTAAACCTACAAGGAATAAGATTCAGAATCCACATCAGGAGAAAATTCTTGACTGCAAAAGTTGTCAGCCAGTGAAATAGGTTGCCCATTAAGTGGTAAGTTCTCCTTTGCTAGAGGTCTTCAGACAGAAGCTAGAAAGTCACCTCTCAGGGATGTACGAGTGGATCCTGCATTGAGCAGAGGGTTGGACTGGAAGACTTCAAAGTTCCCTTCTAAATCTGTGATTCTGTGCAATCTTCTAAAAGGAAAGTTCTAAAGATGGTGCTCAATTATTCTTTCTTCCTCTGGGAACTATCTTGTGAGGTTCTTTAATTATCTTTTAAACTTTTATATATATATAAGTTATTACTGTATATATATATATTAAA